GCTTTTTTCTCATCAAGCTCTGCTTTTTTCTCATCAAGCTCTGCTTTTTTCTCATCAAGCTTTTCCTGTAGATTTTGGGTTTTTTTCACTGATTGGGCAATCTGCCTATCTTTCTTTACGTTCTCATCCATTGCTATTATAATGAAGCATGATATGATGTTATTTTGTGTGTATTCTAGCTATACCTTTACTCATGTAGTCTTCATGCGTTTCTTTGACTTCCTTCAACTCTTTTTCTGTGGCTTGAAGATTTTCCATTAGCTTTTTTATGAACCTTTCCTTTTCTTTAATACCTACAAGTTCAAAGAAATGCCCATTCTAAAACATTCTGACTATAGATACACACATATTTTAGCCGATTTACGTTCGATAATTATTGGGGGTGTGATTTTAACAACCAGTTGTAGGTGTGGCATCCTGAGATCCAGTATTAAAAATATAATTGTGACAGAGACAAAAATAATACATTAGTTAATTAAATAAGATTTGTGTACATGTACAGTAAGTGCATTGTACCAAATAGATTGTATTTACAACTATAGGGTTCTAAAAATTACCTTGGATATTTTCATAATTAATATGTACTGTACATGTATGAAGTTTTCAAGATATACACTCTATAGTTTAAAAGCCAAATTATTTTGCATACACATACATGTACACTGTACATTGTACATGTAAACATGTACATATATAAGAAGAATGTTCATACTTCATACTGTAACTCAATTGTCAATACCCCCCTCTTTCTCTCAGATCAAGTACATCAATTAAAAGTAGCATGACAACTGGCAACATCTTATCATTCAGCAGTACATCATCATCCATTAAGAATCACTCATGGAAAGGATTCCTTCATTAACATGAACACTCACACACACATTTGTCAATTATACCTTGTCAGACTTTAAAATAATGATGAATATCGTATACCAGTTTACATGTATTTTCATGGTAAAATATTTTTGCGAATTTCACGGTTTGTGATCAGTCGCAAAAATTCTGCTTTCCATTGCCATGTGGTGCAGTCTGCAAGCAATTTGCAGTGCATTTATTTTTATCACATCAATTTCAGAATTATACATACACATACCTTACATATACACTGAGTAACATGTTACATAGTCAGTACATGTACATGTAGAAACATAATGAAGAAGAATGTAAAACATTAAGGGGCTCCACTCTCTAGCTATGCCTCCCAGTCATGCACAAACACATGTACATACAGCAATACTTAACATCAGTGAGCTTCGCCCAATCAATAGAATTTACTAATAATTGAAACATCTCACCTTCCTCTTTTTGTGGTGACTCAATAATTTCAGTGACAGTAACATCTTTATCCTCTAGCTTTTTCAGTATCACTGGATCGTTGAGATCTCTGATGACATCATCAAGAACACATGGTAGTATAGCATAAGTGATGATAACACAGTTCTCTCTTAATTGTTTAAGAAGTGCGTAATAAGACCATGAAAATTCACCAAAGGTTGAGATCCAGGTATAAACGACAGTGTGTAACCAAGGCCTTTCAAGACGAAAGGAAACATAAGGTAATCCAAGAGGAGCAGTAGGAGACAGCTCAGATTTTCTTTCAAGTAATGGTATAATATCTTGAAAGGAAGCTGAACTTAATAACTTGGTATATTCTTTTTCATATTCATAAAACCGGTTATTAATCTCATCATCTTTAACTAGTTCAGCTAGTTTCTTCAATAGCTTGTAATTGATGTAACCAATAAACTTGTATTTACTTAAAAAGTCAAAAAAGCTTTCAAAATCATTTGCTTTCTCAAAAATATCAATACAGGGCTTCAACTCAGAAACAACACCAGCTTTTGTCATTAGGCATCTTTCTATCAACCTTTTTGCCCTTTTTACATCAATGTGATGATCCTTAAGTGATTTTTCAAGTGCAGAAACAAGGAAATCATACTTTCCTTGCAAATTATTGGCAATTTCTTGTAGCTCAGGATATCGATCAATTTTAAGCTCAAGATCAACAACACCTACATACATAAGTTATAATAAGTTATTAATTATCTTTCCTTACCTGGATTAACAGTGGCCACTGGCTGAATTAGATGACCTACATGTATAAGACAGAAATAAAGTAAATGTATTTAACCCAAACCCATCTATTGTGGGAAAATTTTGTAGTGCTTAAGATTGGCAATTTCATCATTGTGCATGGCTTTTTTTATAGCCACATCATGCTTAGAATAAAGCAAAATGGGAATTTTTTTTGGCAATTTTATTATTAATCTGCCAATTGCCAAAATAAAACTCTGTTAATTTTACTTGCTATCACCAAAATTTTTTAATGAGAATGAATCCATTACTTTAATGTCTTTATTTTGGGAGTACTCAGTGCATGTTCTCATGCATTCAAAGGCTCACCTTCACTGGTATGTGATGTTGGAGGTGTGGCTACCATGGGTTCATCACTTCTTGACAAAGGAACAGCTGCCATAGGGGCGGGGGCCAAGACTAGAAAATAAATTACATGCAAAATAAAATTATTTTTAATATTATAAATTTACTTCTTTGTCTTTCTCCTTCAATACCATCAGCTACAGCATTCTCTTCTATTCCTCTAAGAGCAGCTATCAGTGTATCTATTGTTGGAGTCTCCACACCATCAGGTTTACGCAACCAGCCAGCCAAGCACTCAGTAAAACAAGGATCTACTTCTCCATGATTTTTCTTTATCTTCTCTAGTGTATTATAAGACAATTTAAGACGTAGACCAAGTTGATGATATGATGCCTTGTTGTAGTGATGCCTCTCGAGTAATGCAATTAGTTCATCGAGATCCTTAATATCTAACGTTATAAATGGTCATTAGATTAGTAAAATCATTTCTAGACTCACTCAAAGTCCTTCTACTCAGAATGGCCGGAGGAATAGCCGAAGAAGTGGATGTATCCATAGCCCGATCCATAGCCATTGTGGAGGGAGGGGCGGAGGCCGGAATGATAATTGCATCCATTAAAATTAATAATTGTAACACTCAATTAGTGTGCATGATATTGCATGCATGAAATAGAATCAGAATATCCTAGTACTTAGGAAGATATTAAGTAAAATAAAATAAAACCTGTCTATTCCAGACACCTTGGGAGTTGGGACCCAATAATACTGCCCTGTCCTTATTTCAGACTCAGAGGTTCATTAATACACATTACTATTGTATTGGGACTGATACTACCTGTCCTGATTATAGAGGTGTCCTTATTTTAGAGTATCCACAATAGAAGGTTTGACTTATTAAATATTAATTGGGAATACATACAGAAAGTGAATCACATTAAAATAATAACAACAATAATTATATAATAATAATAAATAATTGAGACAGAAGAGATGAATAATAATGATTAATTAATAAGAATAATATTAAATAATAACTGATTAATTTTGAGACTAAATAATTATAATTGTCTGATAAACTGATAAAAATTTGACATGGATACAAATAATCACACACACATCAACAACAACAAACACTAACATTAAAGAGAATATAGTCCTCCTTCCCTCTCTCTCTCTTTTTAAAGAGGATCGACAGTGACAATTTCTTAATAATTGAGGTATATTCAGAAGAAAGGAGAGAGGAAGAGAGAGAGAGAGAGGGAGGGAGAGATGGGCTCAAATGTCCAGCTGTTTTATAAATTTGGCAAGTTCAGCTTGTACTGGATTCACGCGTCGTGAGTGTCCATTCAAAACCAGGCTAGACTGGACCCCTTCGTCATCCTCGCTCTCAATATGACCCATCGAGGGGGCCCCCTGGACCTGCTCCAGACCGTTACGAAGAGTACAATTCGACTCTATCAAACTTTTAATTTTCTTCTCCTGGAGGGCGATCACCTCTTCCTTGCTTTCAAGCTGCTTCTTGAGATTCTCAAAGTCGAGACGAAATTGAGCTGTTGCTATTTCAGTTTGGGTACTAAGTCCTCGTAGAACCTTGCCTCTGTTCTCTTTCAGGGATTTTACTTCAGTCTCTGCCTTCTTGCGGAGGGTTTCCGAGAGGGCCAGGTCATTTCTGAGTCCCTCATTATCTTTTTCGACATCTTGGAGTCGATCTCTGAGCTCGAGGATTTCAAGTTTCATTTTGTCTCTTTCTTGTATGAGATCGGAATTCTCAGCTGTCAACTAAAATAATCATGAAAAAATAAAAATTGTATATAAAATTAGTTATAATCATAATTGAAATATGTACATGTAAATTAAAATGGCTATAATTAATGTCCCGTAGCAGTTATTAACAGTTATTACATTTAGCTCATATTTACTCACATCTGCCATGTGTAAGGTCTGGTCAAACCTGTAACGAAACCAGTTATGATAACTCGTCAAACCTGTTTGCTAATTAACTCACTTCATTGACAAATTGCTCTCTATCGATTTGCTTGACTTGACCGCGTGAATCCGAACTGCACTATCAGAATTCCTAATAAAAAGTACAAGTATACAGTTAATAAAAGCATCATGAATTTAAAAAATAATAATATAATAATAATAATAAGTAAATAATAAGAAATAATAATCATTTTAAAAGCATAAATTAAAGCATTATAATGATAGCTAGATGTACATGTAGATGCACCTTCTTGGTACAGTAGTAGGTCCATGAGATGGTGATAACTGGGTCTTTCCATTGGTAGGAGAGGGGCTGTTGCTGCTGGTGACTGATGTCCGTGACTCACTTGACTGTCTTGACTCATGGAGCTGTGACAGCTGCTGCTGGGGCATTGAGGAAGAGGGTCTGTGACCGTATGAAGGCTTTGATAAATGTACTGAGAGAGAGAGAGGGAGAGAGAGAGAGGGAGAGAGGGAGAGAGAGGGA